ACCACACCTACAGCCCAAATGAGCTTTGTTCCAGACTATTGTCTGTTGTATGGACCCATTCATCTCTCGTAAAGATCACTTACTACTCTTCTAAAATGGCCTACATCCCACTTTCTTCTCTCCCCTCTGAATAAGGGTACATAAACTTCTAGACCCTACTGGGTCTAGAGCTACTAGAATTGGGCATTCGCCTTCCTGTGATGCTCCCATGCACATAAATCAATTATGCTGTGCCTTTTCTCCTTGTAATTGGTCTATTGTCTATTAATTTCTCAGACTCAAATATCAAACTTCAAGAGGTGAGAGAGGGAGTTCTTATGTCCCTACGCCTTTGAGTTATGACTGTCTCTCTGCTATGGTACAATGGGCTTTGAACCACCAAATAGACTTGAATGCTAATCTAGGTTCAGTGTTGGTATGATCCAAGGAAGCTCATATATTTTTGAATCTTAACTTCTTCACTAGACAGAATGCCACATCTCTCCGGTTTGACAAAAAATACATAAAAAGCTTCTACCAGATAGAAAGCGCTCCAATCTTGGATTTTTCCTCCTTTAAACCTATTCCCGGCCGAGCGTGGTGGCTCACGCCTGTAATCCCAGCACTTTGGGAGGCGGAGGCAGAGGCAGCTGGATCACCTGAGGTCGAGAGTTCAAGACTAGCCTGACCAACCTGGAGAAACCTCGTCTCTACTAAAAATACAAAAGTAGCCAGGCGTGGTGACTCCCAGCTACTCTGGAGTCTGAGGCAGAAGAATCGCTTGAACATGGGAGGTGGAGGTTGTGGTGAGCCAAGATCATGCCATTGGACTCCAGCCTGGGCAACAAGAGCGAAACTCCGTCTTGAAAAAAAAAAACAAAAAACAAAACAAACAAACAAAAAAAACAACCTATTCTGACCATACCTATATATGATTCTGGCCACAATCAGAAAAAAATAAGATGTTGGAATTATGAGAATAAACAAAATAAAAAGAAGAGCTGATCAACTTCAAAAGTAACTTCTCAAATGCTGTCCTCTTCATCCTGCATTAATATTTGTATTTCTGTATATTTGTTTATTTGTACTCTACTTAAACACATTTTTGGGATTGGCAGCATTGTATAAAGGAAAAGCCTTAGGCTTTGGAGCCATGTTACCTTCCACATGGCTTTCAACAAAAATATACAATCTCTCTGAAGCTGTCTCCTCATCTCTAAAATGGGGATGATAATAATACCTACCTTGAAGTACTTTGAAGATTTAGACAAATTGCATAATAAAATATCCTAGCATAACATGAAAGGCATTCAAGACATATTGGTCCCCTTATTCTCCAAGAGGTTTTAAAGTTCCACAAGGGCAGACATCACACATTCATTTTACTCACCTCTGTAAATATTTTTAAATCATTTGACAAATTCCTTTTTAGATGGTTGTATACCACTGGAATTTTTGAGCTATAGGAGAAGTAATGGTAGAACTAATTTTGTTATGTCCTCAAAATGTATTCTATCTCATCTTCGAAAAATATAAATCCTGTTATTTCTCCCATATTTGAACCAATTATTCTGATAGATATTCCGTGGAGCCATATGCCAACGTGGCAATATATATATATATTTGCTTTCTAAATAGTAATAGTAAATTCTAATAGTAATGCTTTTTAACCTAAGAATTGTATTTCTAAGAATTTATGGTAAAGAATAAAAAACACACTCGAAGATTCATGTACAAGTATGTTCAGTGCACACTGTTTATAACAGGAGGGAAAATGGAAATAATAAAAGAATACATTATCACAGATGCAAAATACAAAGTATAATGACGACATGAAGCCACATTTTAGTAATATATTTAATTATGTGAGAATTCGCTCAATATAAAGTGAAGAAAGCAAGTTACAAAGCTGTATGTAGGTTGGGTGCAGTGGCTCATGCCTGTAATCGTAGCACTTTGGTAGGCTGAGGTGGGCAGATTACCTGAGCTCAGGAGTTCAAGGTCAGCCTGGGCAAAGTGGCAAGACCCATGCCTACTTAAAAATATATAGCAAAAAATTAGCTGGACGTGATGATGCATGCCTACAGTCCTAGCTACTAGGGAGGGTGAGACACGAGAATTGCTTGAATCTGGGAGGCGGAGGTTGCAGTGAGCTGAGATCGCACCACTTAACTTCAGCCTGGGTGACAGAGAGAGACTCTGTCTTCAAAAAAAGCAAACAAACAAACAAAAACTATATATAGGTCTCTTGTAAAAAAACAAAAGTGCATACGTAACAATAAAAGTAAACAGTTGTTTTCTTTGATTGGTGTGATTACTAGTGATTTTAGGTTTATTGTTTAGAACTTTCTATATTTTCTAAAATTTCGTATATTTATAATTAGAAAAATATCAATGACTATGCCCACTTAATTTTAATAAGGTATTTAAGATTAAAATTTAATATAGGCCAAGTATGGTGGTTCACACCTGTAATCCCAGCACTTTGGGAGACCAAGGTGGGTGCACAGCTGGAGCCCAGGAGTTTGAGACCAGCCTGGACAACATAGCGAGACCCACCTCTACAAAAAAAAATTTTTTTAATTAGCTGCTCGTGGTGGCACATGCTTGTGGTCCCAGCTATTTGGGAGGCTGAGGTGGGAGGATCTCTTGAGCCCAAGAGGTCAAGGCTGCAATGAGCTAAGATCACACCTCTGCACTCCAGCCTGGGTGACAAGTGGGACCCTGTCTCAAAAAAAAAAAAATTAACATGAAGAGAAAAACCAACCTTAAATACACTATCTTTACATAGTGTGTTTATTGTAGTATTTTGCTTCACTTCACCAAGAAAACAGCTCAAGATAAAAGTTAGGCTTCTAAATACATATTGAGTCTTTGAAAGGTAGCTTTATAAAGTAGAAAAAGCAGTTTCAAAACCCAGGTATGTGGGCCTGAGCAAGTTAGGAGGCAGAAGAATAGGGGCTGGCGGCAGGGAACCTAAGGCCCATTCATGCTGACTGGGTAACAGACACTACTCCCATTTCATCCCCCATTCTTTCTGCGTGGCAGTTGAAAAAACGAAAGTACCTCTTATTGGTCTCCTCCCACAACCAGCCAGACTGGTCGTGGGCCTACTCTTCATTCTGATTGGTCCCCTCCTGCAACCAATCAGACTGGTTGTGGGCCAATGGGAAATCTCTAGAGGGTATTTAAACCCCAGAAAATCCTGTAACCAATGCTCCTGAGCAGCTTGCACTAGGCAGTGCTCACCTCCCGGAGTGTACTTTTGTTTAAAATAAATCTCTGCTTTCGCTGCCTTGCTTTGTTTGTGCGTTTTGTCCAATTCTTTGTTCAAAACGCCAGGAACCCAGACAGCTACCCTCAACCAGTAACAGTTACCTGCTGGGCCTGATTCCTCATCTCTAAAACAGGGCTGTCACCCCGAATCAGACGATGTGGTAAGATTTCCACAATTGTTGAAAGAGCCTGACACATAATAGGAACCCAAAGTCTATACAAAGACTTAACATTCATGAAAGAATAGGCAAACTAAAGGAGAAATCCACTGAAGTTTAGGGTGAATACATTCTAATAACTTGTTTGGTAAAAACTACACTGAAAATCACTGTCTTGTCAGTGTTCAACATTCATGTGAACAATAATATTTAACGTCTACTGAGCCTTTACAAGGCCAAGCCCTGTTTTACAACCAAGCTGAGATGGTTCCGTTTTTGAAGCTGCATTCCTGCCCAGGAAACAATGGCCCTCAGGGGTTCAGACACTGCTCAACACCAGCCTGATAGAGGCAAGTTCGAATGCAGTCCCTCTCCAAAGTCTTACCCACTGCTCCACAATGCCTCAATACCAAACATTTCATCCTCAATTCCAAATCCATCTCTTCAGGGCTGCAAAAAAGCCGTACTTCCCAAAGGGCGAGTTCTCCAAAAACTGCATTTAGCATTTCAGATCCGAGTGAGTTGAACTCACTAGGATTACGGGAAAAACTAGTGAAATTCAGATAGCACCATTAACATCAAAAGTTTTAATCTGCGGTAGCGGAAATACTGCTTAAGCCCTTAGGTAATTTCAAATGCACCTAAGAAGGCCGTGCGGGTCTCGGCTGGAGATGCAAAAGAAAGGTGAGCAAACTTAATCAATTATGGTTTTCAAATTTTAGCTAATGAAGGAAATAGCAAGTTTCCACTTGTCATAATTACAGGCATCAGTATCAATGTATCATTATTCTAGCACTAATGAAAGACCTCAAGAACATAGAAAGCAGCAGTAAACGTGCTAAGAAATGACAATGTGGTCACGTCAAGTTGCCCAAGGTTACATCCGGGGAGTCAGGGTTCAAACTAGGTCTGTCTGGCTCTAGAACAATTGTTCTCTGCTACCTCCAAATCCTGTGTATGTGGTTTCGCTAAACTATTTCGTTGTTTATAGATCTGAATTGGAAGCTGTTCGGTACCCTAAACTTAGCAACTAACTGATATAAAGGTATCCCTTACAGAAATCTCAAACTAATTCTTTATTCCTTTCAGGAAGAAGAGTCTTAAGAATATGCATTATAAAACATGTTTCAAAAAAGTTATAAAAAAAAAAAAAAAAAAAAGAAAAGGAAGGAAGGAAGGTGGGAGATGGGGGAGGACAAGACACCGTATCCTAGACGCAACTTGGCATCGTTCGAAAGAAATTCTGTCCCCTACTCCCTTCGGTGCGATTCGCGGTCCCTAATCTAGTCTGGCTACCCCCACCCCCGATTCCTTTAAAAGGGGTTGAAATGGATATTGCATTAAAGAAAACCCTCTGGTAGAAAGGGCCTGCGGCAGAGGCGCCCCCAAATCATGGAACCTGTTGGAAGAGTGAGAAAGGAACTCTGGGACTCCGAACTTATTCTCACTGGTGTAAAAGGACAAAGTAAATCCCCATTAGCCAAGCTGGGGAGAAGTCACATCCGTCCGCTCTAAAGGGCACACAGCCTCTCCCCGACCATCCCTAGGGGAGGGGCAGCACATTTAGAAACACCGGCGGGCCTCTAGTCCTTGGCTGCCTTGCGGCGACCCTCAGAGCGGGTTTCCCAAGGCCGAAGCGCCTCCGGCAAGGCACAAACTTACACCACTGCTGGTTGCCAGGAGATACTGTCCAGCCACCTCCTCCAATCAGCACGCATCTCTTTGCGTCCAATCACAGAGGCCAGAAGGGCCGTGGTGGGAGGTGAAAGGTCATACTCTTGTTTGGCGGCCATTTCTCTTGCAGCTCAGCGGTTCGGGACTGGCGGTATCTGCTGTGGTCACGAGGGACGAGCGGCGGCCTGGTTGGCAGCGAGTAGCTTGCAGCATTCGCCCGTGGTTACGATGGTAAGGAGAAAGAGAACGGCGGGAGAAGCGGGGAGAAAGAGGCGGGAGACCAGTTTCGCGGGGCCTGATGGTTGCTTCGCGCGTTTCCCATTCAACCGCGTGAGGCGCCGCGCACCCGGTCGCCAGCTCCTTTCATTCTGCTCTTGGGGTTTCTGAGGCGCGTGCTCCTCCCGTTGCCTTTCTTTTCCTAGGAGTGCCCCTGCTGCCTCCTCTTTGTTTGAATCCCAGTCTGGGTTATTTTTGGTTGGGGCTTCAGGGTCGGCGTAAAACTGAGTTTGCACTTCTCACTAACCACTCTCCAAAATTCGCTTTAATTCCGTGAAAGTAGCTATACAGCCATGCTCTAGATTAACTCAGTCGGGTGGGGAAGACAGACGTTAGTCAAAAAACAACAAATATGCAGTTGCAAATAACAAGTGCTAAGAAGCTTGTAGACCGGAGGCTGTGAGGGTGCACGTTAGACATTAGAGGCTTAGTCAGAGATGGCCTCCCTAGGAGGTGGAATTTAACCAGAGACCTAAATGTCCTGAAATACCACCCTTTAAAGAGCAGGAGGAGTGTACCGAGCACAGGGAATAGGAGCGTAAGACCTGCAGCCGGAAAGAAAGCTTGGTCAATTGGAGAAATTGACGGAAAGGTACAGCCACTTGCAATAATAGTGGCTTCTAATTCAATTAGAAGCTATTGAATCATTTTAAACAGACATATGACATAATTTGATGTGCACTTTGAAAACTAATAGTTGCCGTGGTGGATAATAAATTGGAGAATGTAAACTGGAGACCCATTAGGTTATTGGAGTAACACTATGCCAAGATCACTCTCAATATGCTTATCTTAGTTTAGTAGCCAAGTTTCTGAGTTCTGTTCTTTCTTTGGTGAGTGAGCAGATGAGGGCCTAAAAATGTCTGAATTCACTGGAGATGCTAATGGTTTGTTGAATAAACAAACATTAGGCGATTGCTGTAAAGTCAGATAGGACCTAGCCCTACCTTCCACAGTTAAAGACTGTCAAGCGTGATCTGCCCTCTGCTTCCTTCTGCAGTCTTGTATTAGGGGCTTTGACTGACAATGCTGAATTCTTTGTATGTCCCCAAATCATCTTGTTCTCTTTGTAAGTTGCTACCCTTGCCTGGAACAGCATTCCCCCCCTCCCCCCAGCTCTGGGAATAAACTCTTATCCTTTAAAACTGAGATATTACTTAAGGCAACCTTTCCTTTTTTGCATGGATTGCTTTGGTACCCTTGTGCCTAGCATATCTCCTCTTACTGCATTGCAGTATGCAATGTAATTATTTGTACATGAGGCGCTCCCCTCCCCATCTCCAGCTTCTTGACAGGGACTGTTATTTGTTTATTTATTTTTAAGAGACAGTGTTGCTCTTGCCCAAGCTGGAGTGCAGTGGCTTGATCATAGCTCACTGCAGCCTTGAACTCCTGGGTTCAAGCAGTCCCCCACCTTATCCTCCCTAGTAGCTGGGACTACGAGTGTGTATATCGCACCTGACTATTTTCGGTAGGGATGGTGAGGGGGGGCTCTCCCTATGTTGCCTGGGCAGGTCTTGAACTCCTGGCTCAGGTGATTTCCCTGCCTTGGCCTTCCAGAGTGCTGGAATGATAGACACGTGCCTGGCCTGAATTTTTTTTTTTTTTTTTTTTTTTTTAGTGCCTTTATCTTTGTTTCTTTCAAGCTTAGAACAGTGAGTGATGTAGGTAGTCAGTGTATCTTAAGTGAATAGTATTTTGTTTTGATGGGTTAAAGGTGAAACTGGCTAACGGGATATTTAAATTTCCCTGGTACTCATCTTCAACAAATAAAAGTGAAAATTATGTTTTCTTCATTTGCACACCAGAAAATATTGGTGATTTGGCAGAAGGGATTTGGTGGTGGGAGGAAAAAGAATTAATTGGATCCTTTTTTGTTCTTTGTGCAGAGTTTACCCCTCAATCCCAAACCTTTCCTCAATGGACTAACAGGAAAGCCAGTTATGGTGAAACTTAAGTGGGGAATGGAGTACAAGGGCTACCTGGTATCTGTAGATGGCTACATGAACATGCAGGTAAGCTGTAAAGGTCATAACATTGCATTGATTTTGCTTCACCTTATTCCTCAAAGGTTTAGTCTGACTAATGAGAATACATACAATTAAATTGACAAATATATGGCAGAATTCAAAAATAAAGTCAAGGCCAGAGAGGATACCGTGATATACTAGGTACAAGACATGGGCTTAAACCGGAATTCAGCCACAGATTTTATTCCTAGGAGTTAAAGTAAGAAGAGCTCAGACATTTGATTCATAATAATACCATAAAGGAAACACACTACTTTGCTGGAGAAAACAAAACTTTTCCCATCATTTAGCCCTGAAAGAAAGTTTTCAAGTGAAATTTTTTAGTCTTTTAATGAATGCTAAAGGTACAACACCAAAGCTATTGAGGAAATTCATTCCTTCAGGGGAAAGACAGATGTGCCAAAGGAATTGAACTGACTGTATGTCTGTTAAACGAGTTTCTGTAAATGATTCAGCCATGTGTTTTGGTGGGGTTTTTTGTAATTAATTTTCTCTTTATTGTGGTAAAACATAACATTAAAATTTTGCCATTCTAACCATTTTTAAATGTGTAATTCAGTGGCACTAAGTACCTTCACATTGTTCTGTAACCATCGCCACTATCCATTTCCAGAACTTTTTCTATCATCCCAAAGTGAAATTTTTTGCCCACTGAACAGTAATTTTCCATTCCTTTCTCTACCTAACTAACCCCTGGTAACCACTATTCTACATGTCTATGAATTGAACTGTGCATAATACCTCATCTAAGTGGAATCGTATATTTATCCTTTTGTGTCTGGCTTGTTTCACTTAGCGTAGTGTTTTATTCAGGGTTCATCCATGTTGCAGCATGTGTCAGAATTTCATTCCTTTTTTAATTGAATAATATTTCATTGTATGGATATACCACCTTCTGTTCCGTGTGCCTCTTGGTGGACGCTGGGTTGCTTCCCTCTTTGGACTGTAGTAAATAATGCTGCTGTGAAGATGATTGTACAAATATCTGTTCGAGTCCCTACTTTCAGCTCTTTGGGGTATATACCCAGAAGTGGAATTACTGGATTACTGGTAATTCTATGTTTAATTTTTTAAGGAGGCCAAGCATGGTGGCTCATGCCTATAATTCCAGCACTTTGGGAGGCTAAGGCGGTGGATTGCTTGAGCCCAGGAGTTTGAAATCAACCTGGGCAACATAGCGAAACTGCATCTCTCCAAAAAAATACAAAAATTAGCTAGGCATGGTGGTGTGGTCACCTGTATTCCTAGCTACTCAGGAGGCTGAGGTGGGAGGATCACCTGAGCCTAGGGAGGCTGAAGCTGTAGTGAGCCGTGATCACACCACTGCACTCTAGCCTGGATGACAGAATAAGACCCTGTCTCAAAAAAATTTTTTTTTCTGTCACGCTATTTTCCACAGCAGCTACGTGGTTTTACATACCCACTAGCGATACACAAGGGTTCCAGTTTCTCCACATCCTCACCAACCCTTGTAATTTTCTATGGGTGTTTATAAAATAGTTAACCTAATGTGTGTGAAGTGGTATCTTACCGTGGTTTGGATTTGCATTTTCCTAATGACTAATGATGAGCACCTTTTCATGTGTTTTTTGGCCGTTTGTTTATCTTTGGAGAAACGCCTGTTTATGTCTTTTGCACATTTAAAAAATTAGTTGTTAGGGTTTTTTGTTGTTTTTTAATAGTAGTAGTTTCCAGCCATTTTGTTTGTTTGTTTGTTTTTTGCTTTTTTTTTTTTTTTTATTGCATTTTAGGTTTTGGGTACATGTGAAGAACATGCAAGATTGTTGCATAGGTACACACATGGCAGCATGTTTTGCTGCCTTCCTCCCCTTCACCTATATCTGGCATTTCTCCCCATGCTATCTCTCCCCGACTCCCCACCCCCCTGCTGTCCCTCCCCTAGTTCCCCCCAACAGACCCCAGTGTGTAGTGCTCCCCTCCCTGTGTCCATGTGTTCTCATTGTTCAACACCCGCCTATGAGTGAGAACATGCGGTGTTTGATTTTCTGCTCTTGTGTCAGTTTGCTGAGAATGATGGTTTCCAGGTTCATCCATGTCCCTACAAAGGACATGAACTCATCGTTTTTTATGGCTGCATAGTATTCCATGGTGTATATGTGCCACATTTTCCCTGTCCAGTCTATCATTGATGGGCATTTGGGTTGGTTCCAGGTCTTTGCTATTGTAAACAGTTCCAGCCAGGTTTTTAAAGGCTATCAAGACAGTTGGTCAATCCAATCAGGAATCCTAGGATTCCATACTTGAGAGAAGAGTGCTGAAAGGAGTACATTAAGTAGGCAGAGAGCGATGATTTTCCTTAACTTAAGCATTTACCACCTAAGCACAGGACACTAAGGTCCCCAAAGCATAGTTTGGGTTTGGAAAATTTCCTAAAACAGGAATCATTTACCAAGACCATAGAAAAATCTGGGACGTAAATGAATTGTGATGAAAGTATTCTGGAATTAGTGGTGATAGTTGCACAGCTTTTTGAATATACTAAAAGCCACTGAATTGTACACTTTAAAAGAGTGGATTTTATGCTATGGAAATTAACATCTCAATAATAGAAGAATTACCACTTAATATTTGTTTTAGAATCAGTATAGCTTGCTAGTGAGCCTGCTAGAGTTAGAAAATACCGGGTAACCAACCACTTTGAGTAGTCAACCATATTGATACCAGCATTTGAATTTGTTCACTTGGCAAATATTTATTGACTCCCATTATGTGACTGGCACTATGAATATAGCATTGAACAAAGCAACGTCCCTGCCCTCCAGAGTTTATGTTTTAGTAGTGGGAGATGGTAATATAATGTGGTAACAGGTGTGATAGATGCTATCCATGAAGAAAAAGGGGATAGACAGTATGTGCAATATTATATAGGACAACCTCTCTGAGGAAACAAATTCTGGAAGATACCAGAATTAGTGTACAACTCAGGTGAGTGTTTGGGGAAAAGCATCCCAGTTTGAGGGAACAGCAAGTACAAAGGCCCTGTGGCAGAAGTGTGCTGGGTATGTTCAAGACATAGCAAGAAGGCCAGAGCAGATTGAGTTAAGGGAAGAACGATAGAAAGGCTGGAATGGTGGACATAGAGAGCCTGTTGAGTGATGGTGAAGACTGAATTTAATACATGATAGAAAGTATTTGGAGCATTATTGTTTAGAAACCAGTTAAATGTTGTAGTTACCTTTTACAGAAAATTAATTGCTCTTAATATTATTTCTTATAGCCGTTACATACAAACTAATTGTCTCAACAACCTCATATATTTCAGACAAAGCTGTATCATCTGGATAATGTAGATTACTTTTTGTTTTCTGTAAGAGAGGGAGTAACATCAGTAGTGTTCATTAACATGTTTTTCATGCTTTATGTTACATCCTAATTTAATCCTTACTGTTAAGCCCTATTTTTCGTTTCCTTTTCCACATGCTTGTTTGTGAAGGAAACCTCCCTCTCCCTTCACTGCTCTTAGTTCGGTCTCTGAGTCCCAGGTGGCATTGATTGTGATTTTTTTTTAATTACAAGTAAAGCTTATTACCTATATGTGTAGAAGGAAAGCTAAACATTTTGATATAAAATTAGAAGTAATAGAGTTCAACAAAATAACTGTAAAGGTCAAACTTAACTATTTAACTTTCTCTTAAGAACCTCTTTTCCCCTATTTATTAGTATAAAATTAAAAAAAGGGTTCTTATTCATTGGCCAGATGTGGTGGCTCATACTTATAATCCCAGTACTTTGGGAGGCCAAGGCAGGAGGATCACTTGAGGGCAGAAGTTCCAGACCAGCTTCGGCAATATAGCAAAATTGTTTTTGAAGTAGCCAGGCTCGGTGGCACATGCTGTTGGTCCTAGCTACTCAGGAGGTTGACGTGGGAGGAGCCTAGGAGTTGGAGGTTTTGGTCAGCTATGATTGTGCTACTGCACTCCAGCCTGGGCAACACAGTGAGACCCTGTTTCTTAAAAGGCAAGAAAAGAAGAAAATTCTTACTCAATTACCTGCTTTAGATGTTGACTAATATAAAGGTATTTGGCATGTTAGCAATAGCTTTTGTACACCCATTTGGACACCTCAGTATGCTTTATAATGTTTGACTCTGAGAAAACTTAACATTTGGTGCTTTAGAATGAATTTTCAGAAAACTTTTTAATCACAATTTATTCATAAAGTAGAGACTGCCTGCTTCCACACAGTTTTGATATCTGAAACTTACATAACCTGGGAGATTCAGAAACTTATGTTGAAACAAGCTTTATTATCTATTTGTTCTACATCCATGAATGTTAATTTTACTGAAGGTTTATATGAAACCAAAAGTCCTACAGTAGTAATAGAAAGCTCATCTTCTGTTTATTAATTATAGATACACTTGAGTTGTTCGTATAGAAAGGTCTCAGTTAATAAGTTCTCTCACCAGTATTAGCTGTATTGTAATATTTTCCTCCTGTGTGATTATACTAACATTTTTTTTTTATTGAAAGCTTGCAAATACAGAAGAATACATAGATGGAGCATTGTCTGGACATCTGGGTGAAGTTTTAATAAGGTAAAAAAACAGCAGTGGTATATGTAAGGAGTTACTGGTGAGCATTAGGAATACCTGTTTTAAATATATTAATGCCTCAATTTTGGAGTTACTTATTTTTAAAAAAAATCACTATTAACTTATAATACTTTACAGTTAGACTTCAGAAGTCTTTGAAATTGTTAAACTTGTCAAAGGTAAGTTTTCAAATGTTTTAGAACTGGCCAAAAGATTTTTCTAGTGTTGATGTTAAATTTTCTGGCTCTATAACCTTTTTCAGTGGCCTTTGTTGGAGGCACTTAGTTTTGAATTTTAGTTGAGTCTGGCTGTTTGTAAGAATTTTTGTTATATTCATTTTCTGTACTAGCTTCAAAGCTCCAAATTCTGATAATGATTTCCCTTGGAAAATTATAAAGATGTCATTTTATAACAACCATATGGTGGAAAATCAGTGCCATGTGCTTTTCAACATATCTATGTAAAACGTTTTTTCAAAACAAATATATATATATTTTTAAAGACAAGAATATTATAAATATAGCATTCAGTGTTTTCATAATAAAAAATATAGTAATTCAGATCATACATGATTTCTGGTTGGAACAACAAAATGGACTTTTTCTGTTTACAGGTGTAATAATGTCCTTTATATCAGAGGTGTGGAAGAAGAGGAAGAAGATGGGGAAATGAGAGAATAGCATATTTTGTGGGAGTTTTTTTTTTTTTTTCCTGACCCCAGCCCCCGGGATTTTTTTTTTTTTTTATATATATATATTTCTAGACAATAAAGATTTGTTTGTTCTTCAACTTGACTTGTGAACTATTTGTATTCAGATATTTACAAGCAAAGCTCAAATGCTGAACCAATTGAGAAAGATTACTCACAAAACTAATGCTTTAAAAGTCACCGAATTTTATTTAAGTTGCTTTTCTTTTGTAAGCTTGATAGTCTGTTTTTTTCCTGTAAAGGATAGTTATTTATATGCTTTAGATGTTTTTATGAAGGTGAATTTCAGACCTTTTCTTGTAAAATTATATATTAGCTGAGACCTTTTAAATGCAACTTTTTCTTTTAAAGTTATTTTTGAGCCACTTTTAACATGTATAAAATTAAACATGTTTTTGGTATTAATAATATACTATCTTATTTTACTTAGTAAAATTACATGTTACTTCTCTGTCAGTATAAGCTAAATGCACATATTGTAGCTAAAATGGAAACATCTAAAAATGATTGTGCAGACAAGGCACAACAGAAATTGGGAACTGACATTTAGGCTGAAGGCATATGGTTTGTTTACTAAGGAGAAGAAAGTTCTCTGAACAAAATGTAATGTGAAGTAACAACCAGGCTCACAGATGTTCTGATACCATAACCTCGAGGTTAAGTTTTAAGCCCCCCCAAAACCCTTCAGATATTTTAGGGTTGTACATTGTTAAAATATTTGTATATTCCATAGTAATAACAGCATGCTGTGAACTTCCCTACAGATGGGTTGAGAAAATATATCATTTAAATAATCATGTTGTAAGAGAATGGCCATTATTATACTTCAGTGGTCATTTACCATACAGTTTTATCATTAAACTATCTTTTATGTGTATCCCCAAGTGGGACAATTGAAAGTATAGATAAAAATGTTTAGCTATATGGAATAATACTTATGATATGAATACTTAAAGGCTTCAACAAAAGAAAATAACTCATTTCTAATCCTATAGCCCTTAGAATAAGGGCCTATCTTTCTCAAATTGATTAGGCCTGGTACATGGGGCAGAATATTGCCATTAGTGAAAGCCAAAATTTACAAAATATACCTAAGACATTCTGGTAATAAAATATGTTACTGCTTTTATTCAAGTAAAAAAATATTCCTCCTCTTGTGATTTTGTTTTCGTCTCATTGACTAAAGGTAGCTGCTGTTTGTTACCAGATGGAGGTTTTGAACGATACACAAGTCGTCTTCCCAACTGAAACAAAAGAAAAACAAAATAATATTTTTGAGCATAGCCATTTTCTTTTGAAGTTTGTGAAATACCAATATTAACTTGATTTTTACAAGGAATAATATCATTTGAAATATTAACTAATCACAGTTAAAAGGGACTCATAACCTAACAGATGTCTAACATGCTAGGCAAAGTTGAATAGCAAATTGGACACCAATAAGTATGCCAAAGGAACAGCAGTTAGATTTTATTGGGAAGTGGGAAAACTTAGGTAAAGTCATCAAATAGTATATGGTTCAAATGTGGTCAACTTAGAAAAGCACCATGTTGAAGGCCACCATTTTATTTCTCAGTAAGTGCCATAGTCAGTTTTTCCTCCGTGGTTGGAAGAGATAGCTTTCTCCTGTTGAGCACCTGACTAGCATTTAGAAATCTTGTTAAAAAGTTCAGAAAACCATGTACCATCTTGAACACTGGTTGGCTTCTGGAGGTGTTAACCAACAGAAGAGGCTTTGGGAAATCCCTAGTTCATACCTATTCATTCTCTCTGGGGCATATACTCAAGTATATTACTACTTACTTTTCTTTTACTTTTGGGATTCTCTCCCCTGCTTTTTGTTTCTGTTTTGCTTTTATAGCTGAATTTGTATAAATTAAATGTGTAAATGGGGAAACTACCATAATTCTATGAGATTTGATGGGACGTTGCCACTATGTTCAAAAGGCACTATTGACATTTTAGGACAATTCTCATGTGAGATTGTCCCCTGCATTGCAGGCCCAAGGGAAGCTAAATAACAATGGCACTCTTCTCCATCACTGTAACAACAAAAATGTCCTTGGGGGACTAGAATCTCTGAATTGCTTTTGCATATCAGAATTTTTAACTCAGAGATCTTTGGTAACATTTGTTATTAATATTGTTTGAGAAAATTACCAGTGATGAAGTATCCTAACTGGGTCAGCTATCAGAGGCCTTTTGTGTGTTGTTGATTTGTCAGATAACCATGTTTTCCCCAGTTTTTTCCATTTTTTAGTTTTTACGCATATTTTTAGTATGTTAATTCACTATACATCAAGTATCCATGATGTGCCAGGTATTAGGGATACAAATGTCATAAAACTCATGGTCTAAAATAATTTCAATTTGGTGGGTTTACTAAATAGTGCATGTGGAAGCGTGATGAATGGTTAATTCTTGGGAGGAGAGGACAGGTGAGGAAAGTCTTCATGGAAAGAACTGAACTAGATAAATGCACTTTTTAAGATGAAGTATTTATTTCAATAAAATATTTTGAAGTAATCACTTTTTTGGCATGGCACCTATTAACCATTTCCATACTTCAGAAGTTTTTTTAAGTTCTTACCTCAAGAAGTTGGTTGTAAGGCACACAGTAAGCATTCATTATGTGTTAGCTATTACTATGGTAAGAGTCAGTGTCCACAATAGCTTTGCAGATAACTTTGTCTTTCTGGAATATATTTCAGACCCTATCCCAGAGGAGGGAAAGAGTGGCATATAGAAACAAAAGGCGCTTCTTACCCCTGTGTAGAAGTGATGGACCACATTTATGTGACTACCTAATTCTAAACTTCTGATTGGGCAGGTAGTCTTGCAAAATAAAGAACCTTGGCTTCTGGTCCTGATTCTGCTGTTAAATCGGAAGTTACTCTGGGTAAATCATTTTAACTCCCAACTGTCAATCTCATCATCTTTACAATGTGGGGATTATTTACAGTCCCACAGTTACATGTGATTCTCTGGGTTCACTGTCTCCAAAACATTGCTGAGTGAAAGAAGCCAAGTTCCTAGCTATCATTCGTAAGAAAAAGAATACGTACATAAATACATACTTGTGTATGTATATTTCCGGAGGGATGTAAATGAACCTGTTAACAGTGGTTGCCTCCAGAAAGGGGAACTGAGGAAGAGTGGCTTTTCACCGAATACTCTTGTATCTTTTGAGCTTTGAACCATATGCTGTTATAATCTATTCCCAAAAAAACACTAAAAAAAAAATCTGATTTTAATGAACCTAAGGCTATGAAAAAAAGGAAAGAGGCTTTTACTAAAAAGTGGGTCTAACTGAGAACTGTAGGGCCACTAATTTGAATTATTCTAAAAAGTAACAAGGAACCAGAGAGAGACTAATTGAAGCTGTGAGCAAGAAAGATTATCTTTCTGAAGTTCAACCTGAATAAGTTAGATGAATAAGGTATTTTTGTACCAAAGAGGCGCTCACATATTGATGTGGATGGATCTATTAATAGCAAAACAAACCTTTTTCTTTGGTTGTGCTACTGCTTTTTCCAGAGCAGCTTTTAGCCTTTCTTCTTGGTGTCTTTGTTTTTCTCTCATTTTCTCATCACGAAACCTGTCACAAGAAGGGTGAAACATTCTCGTAACTCTAAATTACATTAAGTAAGAAAAGGACATTACTATTTGATAATCTATGTAAATAGAAGACCTCCTTTAAAGTTAAATGGAAAGGACACTTCATCTTTACTCATAACAATGGCTTTTGAATATTCAGATAAATCTCGATAACAAATACTATTTGGAAATGGGAAGAAATTTCATCATTTTGGAAGACATAAAATATACCCAGATCTTGGTCTAACTTTTTTTTCTTTCCGAGACAGTCTCATTCTGTGCTGGAGTGCAGTGGCACAATCTCAGCTCGCTGTAACCTCTACCTCCCGAGTTCAAGCAGTTATCCTGCCTCAGCCTCCTAAGTAGCTGGGATTACAGGTGCACGCCATCACACCTAATTTTTGTATTTTTAGTAGAGACGGGGTGTCACCATGTTGGCCAGGCTGGTCTCGAACTCTTGACCTTGTAATCTGCCTTCCTTGGCCTCCCAAACATTTCAGCACTTTATAGCTTGTATAGTAGCTACTTTTATTAACTTTCTGCTACTTTTCCCTCTTTTTAAACCTTTTAATTGAAGTGTCACACACAGAAAAGTACATAAATACATAGCTCAGTGAGCTACCACAAAAGTATGCCTTCCAGTTAATCTTTTTGAATAATATCCTCAAATTATGAACAAGAAATGCTATTTGTCATACTCTTTAGGGTTGTTTTGAGGGAAAAATTAAATGAGATAATCTGTGCAACTTATCAAGTATAGGTGGTAAGCAATAGGCACTAAATATGTGATAGCTATTTTATGGACCTTTTTAATGATATTCTAAGTGTAAGGCTATATACTAGGGGATGGAAATACATGTACTGAGCATTTTTATTGCAAAATTAGGTGCCATGTTAGGTGCCCCAAACCATGGGGAAAATCAGCTAACACTATTTTTAAGAAGAATAAGTAATTGGAATTACATTTATGTATCACTGCTAAAAATGAGTTATAATTGCACTTCAATGCAGATATATTTGCTGCTGTAAAACATGCAAATGCTATTAGTGTAGTCATATGAGGTCATCTTAGGGAAGGAGTAACCTTTCATTTGTAATTTTTTTTAAAGCTTGCTTGATGTTCAGTAAGATCCCATCAGCATCACCATCATATTATAGTCTGGACATCGTTATTACTGTGGGTAACCATATCCCCCATGTATCCACAAAGTAGTAGGCAATAACAACATATCTAATACTAGTGGCTAATATTTGAGTGCTTACTACGTGCTAAGTAAGCATGCTCTCGTAATTTACTTGGATCATCTAATTTAATCCTCAGTACCTTGTAAGTACCATGATTACTCCCATTTTACAGATAAAGAAACAGACTAGAGTGCTTATGTTGCCTAAGATCACAAAGTCATAAATAGTTAAATTGAACTCACTCAGCATGGTCTAATGCCCAAGCTAGTAGCCAGAGTGCTAGTCTGCCTCTCAACAT